GCGACGTCAATAGTTGTTTTTAAAAGTCATAGATGTACTAATAATGTATCTTTCTCATCAAAAAAATAACATCTTATGCGGTTATGACAGAACTTTTGAACGGATTTTACTATTGCAATTTATTTATACTATACTATACTTAATGATTGGTTGAGTTCACCATCTCGACATTTTGTCGGTTTTAATAAATACCCCGTCCTGTAATCCGCAAGAAAAGAGGTATCTATATCCCCAATAAGTCTTCCATTATATATTATTATATAGTATAGTTTGATGCATTATATAATTATTTATATAATAAACCGTAACATATATATGATTAATTATGAGAAGCACCTAACTAGTGAACTATGCTATACTACTATAAACACTATGGAAAATATATTATATTTGGCTTGATGACCTCCGTGGCCGAGTGATTTAAACGCCGCGTTTCATGGTGTCGCCGACTCGAAAGGTCCCGGATTCGAATCCCGATGGGGGCAGATGTTTGTGTGATGAATACGAGCATTTGTACTCCAGTCATGGATGTTTAATATCTATTTCTATATAAATATACTTATATATGTACAGTATATGTATTCTATCCTTTACCCTAGCAACCCATAACACAAGCCCTACAGTGCTTACTTTGGGGCTAGGCTAATTGGTGTGAGTGTTGGAAATATTTATTTATATTACTATTTTCAAGGGCAAAAAATTAAGACAAATCTACCTAATTCGTTAAGTTGAAAACTAAACATCAATTGATAAAACGATGCATCGTGTTTTTTAAAGCTTTTAAAGTAATAATCTGTAATTTAAATGATATAAAAAATGGATGCGTGTAACTTATGTACGCGCGTGAGAAGTTATACTTCTTTAGCATCATTAAAAATATTTTTTAATTGCATGCAAATAATTAATAATTACAATAAAATAATAAAAGGACTGGATAAGGGATAGTTAACACAGTCAATTAAGTTCAGTTTTAATTTGAAAAATTAAATAAATATTCAAAATATTCAATTAAAATCACTACTGAATTTAAGTTATTAGTCCATATGTAATTAGCACTTGAAAGTAACTAAAACACGTTGTGTCTATATAGAAACTAGAAACATGTGGATAAATATTATAAATATGAAAACAGTCATCAGAGGCGACGAGCGTGCCAACATTGTTTTTGACAACGCGATCATCTTATGGAGCTCCGTGGATCGTTCAAAGTACCTTTCGAACAGATGTCAGACACTAACATTCATAACGCGCCCACGGCCAACTTCATGGTGTTACTATTGTGTTACAGTGATGCGCGCGCATCTCGAAATTTCACTCACATGATTTTTTCATAACGCGCCCGCGGCCAACTTAATGCTGTTACTTTTGGGTTACAGTGATGCGCGCGCATCTAAAAATTTCACTCTCATCATTTTTTCATAACGCGCCTAAAGAAGTATAACTTCAATAAATTAAATATTATTCAGTGGTTATGCTTTATTTTTTTTCCTAGGTAGGTCTTTATCTAAAGTATACATAAGAATTATAGAAAAACGTATCGTTTGGCAAATTAAAATTTGAGAACCGTTAATCGTGTTCAATGTTGGATAAAAAAGAGATGCAATACATATAGCGACATATTTACAATAAGCTCAGAAGGAATGTAATTCGTACGTACATTTTAACTTAAAACAGTATTATCGCATAAACGTCAAAAATGTGATACAGGATATGATATTGACATGATCTTGACGTGCCATAGGAATGTTTCATAATACCATTTAAAAACAATGTCAACTTGGCATCAACATCATATTGACATCACACTAAGATTATATCACTAAAGCATAATTGACCCGCGCTGTCTTCTTTTCCTCGCTAAAGAGCGTAAGCACCTAATAGTCTGTGCATACACCTGCTTTTGCTTACATTCACTTTATTGATCAAACATTTTTTAAACGATTGTTGTGTGGATAAATAAATAAATAATAGTGTCGATTCTAGCATGATTCTCTAAACCTAAAGTTAAAGACAGCAGTATATTCTTGCCATTTTCTATACAGAATGAAAAGGAGGGACTGATGTTAAACTTAGTTTTAAGTTTAGAGAATCACGCCAGGATTGGCACCACTGTTGATAGTTTTAAGTTTTGCTAAAAAACTTCTCCGTGCAGTTCATGTGGATTCCAAGTCACTGTGGCATTACTGGAAATGAAATATCTGATAAGTTAGCAAATGAGGCAATGAATCCTTACAAAAACTATAGCCATGACCTTTTATCTCTTCCTAAAGATGATCTTTATAGTACCTGTTGTTATATTTGGGAACGAAGTTCGCGAGAAAAAGGTAAATTCTTTGCATCAATTCAACCACACATTCCTATTAAACCATGGTTCCGTAAATCCAAGTATGGTAAGTAAGATTTCCAATTATTATACGCATGCGTGTTGGACATGTCTGCACTCTTGATCATCTCACTAGAATTGGCATTATTAACAACAATATATGCGACTAAGATATGGGTATGGTTAGTGATCTCAACCACATACTCTTTGTTTGTTTAAAATATGATCGCTCCTTCCTTTTTAATGATCTTGTGTCCCTCAATATTCCTTTTCCTTCTTCAGTACCTTATTGTCCACTAATAAACCATCTGTATAAAATTGCCTCACTAATTTTATCATCCATAAAATATTAAAATTTAAGTATAATTTGTGTTTAGGTTTACACATTAAACTTTTGTAAATATATGAATAATTAATTCCTTTTAACTTTTTGTTTAATTTAGTCCTAAAGAAAAGTTTACTAGAAAAAAAATCCACGCGGACCAGGCAGCGGACGGGACTCGAACCCCTGACCATTATGCTACCACGGCCCTATTCGCCGCGTCGAAATTTTCCTAGCCTTAAACTGCAAGGCAGCGCCATCTCTTCGCATTGTAGGTAACCCACAATGTCAAATGAATACTTTTTCAAGTATTAAACATTTTGAAAGAAGAAATAGCAATTATAGTTTCGACGCGGCGAATAGGGCTGTGGTAGCATAATGGTCAGTGCATTCGCCCGGATTGCGAAGGATGCGGGTTCGAGTTCCGTCCGCTGCCTGGTCCGCGTGGATTTTTTTCTAGTAAACTTTTCTTTAGATTTAAACATCTAGCAGTTAAATGCTTAAAAAAATAAATAAAAACATAATTTAGTCCTGTAATAATTTATTTATATCCTCCTGATCGTAGTACTTACACAAAATACCGAAAACATTCCTTTTTTCCTAACCTTTTACTAAAATTATGAAATTGGCTAAAATGCACAAACCGTGCGAAGCCATACAATAAAAAAAATGTAATTGTAGGTACGAATTTCAGTTTACAACCACTAGTTTTGATAGATGGCTTACATAAGACCTACAAAAACAACGATATCCCCAATCATTTGCCATCTATCATTAGAAACCAAGAGTGTTATGAAATACTATTTGAGTTCATTATAAATACTTTCGGCAAGATGACATACCGCTAATGACTGGCCAATATGGAAAACTCCAAGGCCGTAAAAATTATATATAAAAAAACAAGTTTTTGGCGGGATTTCATCGAGTGCGGTTGGCGTCTTGTTTTAATTATTCTTAAATTTGTTCATAGTGGATATTGTGAAATAAAATTGGTGTGATTGTGTATTACAACCGTCTGCGCAACTGAAGAATTAGTGGAATCTTTAAAATATACGCTATTCTGGTCAAGTGGACGTGAGAATTTTATTGTAGTATTGACTACCTCACAGAAGTTTATCGAAAAAGCCAACTCGATATATTTCGTGCCAAACACTCCAAGAAGCATTAGAATGCGTCACAACTCACACCCACATTGTAATGTAAAAAAAAAAAAGATTAATACAAAAATAAGACGATGGCTGCATGGCTATGCCTTTGCCTTTCTCAATAGAGAAGAATAGAACTAAAAAAAAATCAGGAGTTTTTTGGCGGGATTTCATCGAGTGCGGTTGGCGTCTTACACCCATATTCTTAATCGCGTCCTCTAACGTTCCTCGACTCAAACTCATTCGAGGGCTCCTTAAGGAGTTCCTCCAAATAACCTCGAAAATGGTATTCTAGTTGGTATCTTGAACAAACTTGAGAATTCCTCCACCGAGAATTCCTCAACATTGTGACGTCATCATTTGGAGGATTTTATTTCTATAATGGTTAACAGAGGAAATATTACTTGTATGACTGTATCTTTTCTAAACCGAAATCTTCTTTGAAACCAATCATTGTCGTAAACCTTAAAAGGATTTGCGGCATCACGTAAATACCGTCGCGCCGGATAATTATATGGTTAATCATCGTGTATGTGTTACTGAATAAATAAATATATAAATCGTATACTTAATCCATAAAATCCACAAATTCGTCAATAATCTCAAAATCAGACATAATTCTCGATAAAAGCAACTTGAAAACACCACTCGAGGAAGCCTTAAGGTACGTCGAGAGCTACCTTGAGTTTGACAGTTTATTCCTCGACTCGACCTCCACTCGAGTGAGGAATATCTCAAGTGAAGGATATTTTTGTTGTCTAAGCATACGAATTTCCTCCAATGAGGTTGAGTCGAGTGGAAAAAATCTCGAGGAAACGACTAAGAATATGGGTGTTAATTTAATTATTCTTAAATTCGTTCATAGTGGATATTGTAAAATAAAATTGGTGTGGTTTTGAGTAACAACTGTCTGCGTAACTGAAGAATTAGTGGAATCGTTAAAATATACGCTATTCCGGTCAAGTGGACGTGAGAATTTTATTGTAGTGTTGACTACCTCACAGAAACTTATCGAAAAAGCCAACTCGATACATTTCGTGCCAAACACTCCAAGAAACATTAGAATGCGTCACACCGACATTCTAATGTAAAAACAAAAAGAAGATTAATTTAATTAAAGACCAGGCTGTATGGGCATTGTTCCCTTTGCCTTCCCTAAAACGGGAGAACTTCAACAAAAAAAAAATCAGCTGTCAAATTCGTACTTTGGTGGGTCTTGGGCCACCTGAGGGAGCCATCCATCACTGCACTGAAGAAATCTAAAAATCCAGGTCACTTTTTTATTGACAAATTACAAAATACATTTCAAGTTTTCAGGAAAGGATGAGCATATTTTTTTTGATTTGTCGGTGACTACTACAGAAATGAATAAATTGGGGTCCTTGCGATATTTTAATCGAAATGCTTCTAAAAGAAGAGTAGTTGTTACAGGTCTGGGTTTAGTTTGCCCTCTTGGATCTTCTACAGAGTCAGTATGGCCTAAATTATTAAAGGGACATTGTGGAATAGTCTCCCTCCATAATGAAGAATATTCGAAACTACCATGTAAAATTGCTGGTCTTTTGCCTATTGAGAATGATGAAAAACTCAAGAAAGCTTTGTGTAAAGCTAACTTAAAATCCATGGCTCCTGCTACATGTCTAGCGCTGGTTGCTACAGCAGAAGCCTTAGCAGACGCTAAATGGTCACCGCAATTAGAAACAGAAAAAGAAATGACAGGAGTTGCATTAGGAATAGGAATGATTGATTTGAAAGATGTATGTGATACAAATGAAGCTCTGAAAGTAGGTTACAATAAAGTAAGTCCATTTTTTGTTCCAAGAATATTGCCTAACATGGCTGCTGGTCACATTAGTATTAAATATGGACTACGAGGACCAAACCATGCAGTCTCTACAGCATGTGCAACAGGTGCACATTCCATTGGTGATGCTTTTAGATTTATTAGGAATGGAGATGCAGATGTAATGGTATGTGGAGGAGCAGAGTCGTGCATCAGTCCATTAGCTATAGCAGGGTTTTGTAGGTTAAGAGCCTTAACTACTTCTTTCAATGAAACACCTACAAAAGCCTCCAGGCCATTTGATAAAAAGAGAGATGGCTTTGTCATGGGTGAAGGTGCTGCTGTTTTAATTTTAGAAGAATATGAACATGCATTGAAACGAAATGCTACAATGTATGCAGAGATCTTAGGGTATGGTTTATCAGGTGATGCATCTCACATCACAACTCCCAGGGAAGATGGTAGTGGGGCAATTTTGTCAATGAGTAGAGCTTTAAAGGACAGCAATTTGGAAAAAGAAAGTATCACATATATCAACGCCCATGCAACATCCACTCCCATTGGAGATGGTATTGAATCTACTGCCATACAAACCCTATTTAAGGGACATAGTTCAAATATTTCAATATCCTCCACAAAAGGAGCGCATGGTCACTTATTAGGTGCTGCAGGCAATTTAGAAGCAATTTTTACTGTTTTAGCCTGTCACACTGGAATGTTACCTCCAACATTGAACTTGGATGAACCTGTAGATGATCTTAACTATGTTGCAAATGTTACAAGGAAATGGGAATCTGAAAGGAGAATAGCTTTAAAAAATTCATTTGGCTTTGGTGGTACAAATGCCACACTTTGTATAGCACAAATATAATAACGAGACAAGAATGGTTGTATGTAATGAAGAGAATTAATATACATAGATCATTTATATAAGTTTTCTAGAAAAGAAATAAATATGTCATAACCATAATAGTGTGATTCTATTTCTGATTCCACATGAGAATGTTTAGCTTAGCACTATTCAAATGATATTCTATAAGGCTCAATTTAAGCTGCTGAGGAATGGAAGCAAATTTTTCAATTAAATTGTTCATAGCATAATGATTGTTATGTTGCGCATCTTTTGCAGAATCCTCATCCTCATATTTAGTTTGTATGTTAAACAATTCACATGAAGTTCATTATACACTTCACTCAATTTTGTTTTAAAAATTCTTTTCCATTCTGCATAAGTTTGCTTTGTGGGGCAACTAGGGAACTATTACAATTATGATAGCTCAATATGCACCTGGCCTTTTTTTTGACTGTAATGACGTGCCTTTATAAAGATTTTTTAATATAGCTGCCTGGACCCATAAAAAAAATATTTACAAATAAAACGAAAATTATATCACTGTATTATATAATATATTTAAAACTGAGTTACAAATGTTTCTGATTTCAATAACAATGGCAAAATAGCCACGGTAACTCCCGTCCGAAGCTTTTCCATAACGAGCAATAATTCATCATGTACCACGTAATATTGAGTCATATAAGCACAAATTGAAAATAAAATATTTTGATCAAAAATGCTACTTTAAATATTTCATTACTAAGCCTTCTAACAATATAATAATTCTTTAAATGCTGGGATTATCCAGTCAATCATTAAAACTGTTGGAATCATTCAAACTTGCACTTGATTTTATTATGCCTTAAAATTATATTCTCCACAGGTTTCAAACATGATTTAACAAAACAGTACCACCAATATTAGATTTTTATTATATCATCTACAACATCTGTAATAACTATAATAAGCACCCATTATTCTTAGAACAGAGGCTACTAATTATTATGAAATAACCGAGAAAGAGGATCAAAATATAATAATAATGGAATGAACAATTTTTTAAATCAAAATGTATTCCTGTGAATATCCTTTTTGCCAAGTCTCGTAAAAATATGTTATAGTCATATTAACATCTAAAACTAATACGATCTTTAAATTTGTAGTAAGATTTTTGTTCAAGATTACAGATTTCGGAATTCATACATTATTACTAATGCCTCATTTTGGACGCAATGTTAATTTCGTAAAATTATAATATGATGTTTTTCTCAATAACACCTTAATTCATGATGATACATTGCTATGATGTTTCATGTAATTAATATTACTGGGAGTAATAATTGCTATCATGTCTATTACTGAGACTTGACAAAAACATATCAAAGAAACCAGTTTCAACAGAGTACTAGATATTGTAGTTTTGAAAGTATACAATCAATATTCGTTTATTACCTACCAGAGGACTGAGTGTCTGTCACATAGTGGACTGGCGATTAAGACTTACAGTCTGACCAGCTGTGGATCTGAAGCGGTTATACGTTTTTGTGCCATTTCGGGAGAAAATGACTATGAATATTTTATAAAGTGCAGTTTAATTTTGTGGGCTAGGGCGATTTAGGCAGCCTGCTTGTCTTGTGTAGGTGGACGCGGCGGATTCACGCAAAGTTGTGCGAATTTCTGTCGTAGGTTCTGCCGCAGTTCTTGTCTTTTTTCTGTTATGTTCCTACGAGATCTAAATTCTAAAACCTCTTCTATGGGAATATAACTGGTGTCCTCTTCGTCTTCCGATGAGCATGTGTCCTACAACATTGGAGGACCAGGTTGTATTAAATAAGAAAATATTTACAAAAGTATACTAAGGTTCTACTATCGGCACAAGAATCTCAACAACACAATATAATATTACATTACTCAAATTCAAGGTATTTATCAGAAACATGCTTGACCAACAAACAATTTAGTTCTTCATTAGCTTTACAACTATTGCACTGGGTGAAAAGAAACTCAAACGAGGAATATGTCGTGCAAGTTTGATTTTAGCAAATAATTGAAGACATGGGTAGATAAATACAAACACAAAACTCTAAATTAGTGTTATAGGATTTTTTGTCGAGAAATAGAATAAAGACTTATTCTAGTAAGTACATAATGTTGTTAGAAAAAAATATTATATTTTTATATAAAAAACAAATGTTTGCTGTGTAAATATTACAACAATAATGTATGAACGTGTTTATTGAAATGGAATTAGACTTTCAATTATAAAATTATTTTAGAATTTTTCATAAAAATATCAGTATTCTGGCTTCACAAAGTTAAGGTGATCTTTAATGTTATCTTTTTTTTCCATTGATTTCGTGCCATATAGCTATAGATATTTTGGTGGTCAATTTTGGTAAGATAGGTCACAGATGAAGGTGTTATGTACATACATAACACTTTCTTCCATTACACGATTTTGTGTTTTATCATTGAAGTCGTGTGTTATGTGCCCTTAACACATTCTTCCACCAACAAGTTAAGTGTTGTGCGTACATAGACCCTTCACCCATTATTTTTTCACTGTTTATTAGTAAGAAATCTAAAGATGCCATGACTTCTGAGCTGGCACAACATCATCTTTCATTCATGACATAAAAACTAAAATTTAAAAAAATGCAACGAAACCCCATCTTTTACTCATGTCTTCAATTATTTTGCCAGTTTTAAATAAATAAAATTATATTTGAATTTTAACTCAAAACTCACAATCAACATTTCCTGTAGCGACAGCGTGAACCTGGTGCACGACTTCTCTAGTGTCCAAGCAGTCCCCCCGCTCGTGGTTGCAGAATCACTCAGAGCCCTTGGGCGAGCCTAAAGTGAATAAACTATATTTGAACATAAAACTCACCATCAACATTTCCTGTAGCGACAACGTGAACCCCGTGCATGACTTCTCGTGTTTCGTGTCCAAGCAGTCCCCCCGCTCGTGGTTACAGAATCCCTCTGAGCACGCCACCTCGGAACCTTCAGGCGAACTCATGAGGGACGACGACCCAGATATAGTGTCGCAGCACCCGCCGTTGTTCCCCGACGAGTAGCCACAGTCCTGGGAGTGGTCGTGGGGGGACAGTTTCCCGTTTTTGTTCCGCTTCTTGTTTGGCGAGCGACGCGGCGTCGGTTCGTCACAGGAACGGCAGCTATCGCCGGCCTCGCAGCACGCTGGGTACTCGCGCGGCGATAGTAATTCCGTGGGCGTGTCTCGCTCTTCTAATAGGCATTCCTCGCATTGGCACTTTTCCTCTGGCTCTTCGGAGTCAGCCTCCTACGATAAAGAATAAGTTTTTTTTGTAGGTTAAAAAAGTGGCAATGAAGCTTATAGCCAGCCTGATGGTAAGCTGCCACCATAGCCTAGAGACACTTGCGATACAAAAAATATCACTCTCGCTGCTGCCTACTTCCCCTACCCTGTGGAGTCTGGAACCTAACTCACCAACAGAAACGCAACACCACCAAAAGGTCGTGTTATTTTACTATGGTCTTATCTATTAAATATTGCCAAATTAAAAGTATATATAATCAAATTAAACAAAACTGTCATTAGGTAATTATTTAAACTAAAACTAGATTTGACAACAGTCTCTCCTTTTCATTTTATAAGAGCATGACTAGCATACGCTGTTGCCAGTACCGTCTTTGACCTATTGGATGCCGTGGGCATATTAGGATAATGGGGCCCCTATGACTCCGTTTGGTGATTTAACAGATCCCTCTATCGATCGCGGGGCCCTGGGCACTTGCCCAAAATGCCCACTGGGAAAGACGGGTCTGGCTCGCATGGTCACGCATTTTGGGGACCTCAGTACCTATAGCACGAACCATTATCGTATTCGAATAGTTCAATTCGATCTATTTTATTCGTCAAATATGTGCTGATTTCTGTTGTCGTTACGTCCGTAGTGGCGCTGCTGTTCAAGTTTTTATACAAAATTTGATAATGCCATTTCTGACTCCACAGTCCTCAAAATGTGTCGGTGACCCGAAAACTCGTTTTTGACAACAGTTTTTGTTGTTAAGTATCGTAATTGTCAAATTTTGCATGGCAAATGGCTAATTTGTTCTAACATCCGATAGGGGACGATGCAATACGTTACAAAGCTGTCAAAAATTCGTGCTTGGGCCTCAATGCCGGTATTGCCTGTGGTCTTAGTGGGTAGGCCTGCTCATTTCGTAAGGCCCTGAGTGAGATGAACGAAATAAGCGCGTTGGAACTGTTGCTTTATATTTTCGATTATAAAGCAACAGTTCCAACGTTCCAACTTCTTTTAGGTTGCACGCAAGTTTTGCTGTTGAATTATTTTTGAGATTCAGCACTGGTTTCTCATTATTTATTTTTTCTCGCCGATCACGCGATTTAACCACTGTATCTCCTCTGCTATAAGTTTCGTTCCGTTGCAGCTAACAACATGTAGCAGCTGCCAAAATAAAATCAACGTAGTGCTTAGCTGTTATTTTTGTTCTATCTCTAAAGGACCTTGATGGGACATCGTTTTATGCAGTATCATTGTTAGCGTTATCATCATGTTCTGCAACATCCATGTAATTGTAGATTGTTTTCCTCTACGTTATCGTCTAAAAAGGTAACGGTTACTTGCCTGGGTGGTGCATGCGAGGATTTTTGTTTGAAATATCTTTCTGTGTGGCCCACTGCATTACAAGATTTATGAAGTTCATTTGTGCTCCTTTGTTTGTAGAACATCGTTTTCATCACCCCAACATGCCTTGATATGAGGATACAGCTTGTCGATGGTATAAAGATTCTGAAAGCTTAAGATGTCTCAGAGTATCCCATAAATACGCCAGGTATAGCTTTTGATCCTTCCTTTCCTCCTCGTAATACGTAAGTTGATCAGCCAAATAAGTATAGATGATTGATACACGGCTTACGACCAACCCATCGTTCAAAAGGTGTTTGGTTCTGAATGGCACTATTTATACTCCTGTTCGATAGGTAGTTTTCAGTAAAGAATGCTTCACCCCTTAATTTTAATTGTGCCTTTGTGTCTATCATCATAGCTCTGACTTTCTCTACGAGGGTATGATTTCTCCTTTCAGCAAACACCGTTTTGTTCTGGAGTGTATGGTGCCATTAGCCTTCTTTGCATACCATGTTGTTGTCAAAAAGTTTCAAACTCTTTGTTCACGTATTCAGTGCCATTGTGGGTTTGTAAGTACTTAATGTTATTTGTTGCGTGTTTCCGCGAAATTCTAAAATTTTTAATTTTTCAAGACTTCGTTCTTTTTCTTTATTAAGTATACTTTACAGTATATACTCGACGATTACTATACTTTACAGTATAGTAATCGTCGAGAATAGTACCGAAATACTTGTTTTCACTTAGTGTGGGTGTTTGAATAGGTTTACATACGTCGCTATGTACGATCTCTAATCGTTCTTTTGTTCTTGTTGTTTTGGCACGGGGAACAGGAGCCCGATGCAGTTTTGCTTTGAATGCAGCTTTCATATTCAGCCACGGTTTCTGCTTCATCGAAGTTTAAGCCTATTAATGTTTTAATTTTGTGTTCAAATATCATATCATTGGTGTTTATGTGACCAAGTTTTCTGTGCCAATCGTAGATATTTGATGGGTTTGTTATGTTTACGCTTGTTGAATCATTATTGTTTTTGGTCATCTAGTTCAGCTCATGTGTAGTAGGTTTAAGTGAAAAAGACCATCTTTTTGCTTAACAGCAGTTAGGGTTATTTGCGCCTTTGGATTGTTTATCATTGCTCTTCCGTTGGTATAAAGAACAGAGCACCCTGCATCCGTTATTTAAATGACTGACATCAGATGAGTACAAAGACTGCGTACGTACAGTGTCTTTAAGGTGCATGACTGCTGTTCCGTTGCCGTTTTTAGACTAGAAAGTCACGGTACCTTACCTTTAATCTCAGCAGTGTGTTCAGTTGCAAAGTTCAGTTTTCTGGATGTGCTTTCTAAATTTTTGAAGTAATCTCTTTGGTATGTCATTTGAGATGTAGATCCGCTGTCTATGATCCAAATGCTGTTTGCAGGTTTCTCTTTATTGGTAATAAGGAACCGAGTACCATAGTGGTTCTTGTGATTATGAGAATCCTTGTTGTATTCTCTCGGCTTCTCATTGTTTTTCTTCCACCAGCAATCGGTACAAATTTTATGATATTTGCATTTAAAGATGTTTCCTCTTCGTTTTCATTGCTTGCATGACGCATACAGTGCTTCTTCTTGAAAAGATGATTCACAAGTATCGCTTTGGATTGTGTTTTGACTATGACGAGCTTCACATTCTTCAATTATTTTAGTTTTTAAATTGTCTGGTTTTGGAAGAACATCTCTGGATTCAATGGCCACTGTAAAGTTGTCGTACTCTGTAGAAAGGCTATGTAACATCATAATTGATAGTAAGTCATCGTCGATGTGTACATCCATATGCGCCAATTTATCAACTGCATCCATAAATTTATTAAGATGGGAGGTTACGTCTGGTCCATCCAATTTCATTAAAATTTTGCCTTCTGTGCAGGGCCTTTACTGGCATATATATTTCAAAGGACAATGTACGCGACGACCGAAGCGAAAGAAAATGAACTTACAACGATACGAGAGCAATGTATAAAAATGTATCTATAATTTCACATGAATCGGTTGTATACGCATTAAAAATATCATTCCCTTGTTGTCTTATTAGAATGAGTCGGATATCGCAACAATAGATAGCTCTGCCCATAGTAAACCATTGTAAAATTGATAGTTCAGAGCGATATTCCGCCCCGTTCTCTCCAATAATCTTATAAGACTTTATCTAAACGATCGCCACGACGCCAAGCGGTGGCGCGGGGAAACTAGTCAGAATACTGATAGTTCCGACCTATAGGAGGGACGGAGACAATAGGTTGTCCTTGTCACACGTCTTATAGGATTTTGCCTGAGTTGACAATTTTCGATAATAGTATGTTTTATGTTTGGATTGATTTATTTTATGTCTTATTAGATAGTAGGTAGTTATAGGAATAATATATCGAAGTTTTGTATGAATCGTGTTAGTAGTTTAAGCGTAATTAAGGAAAATATCGGGAATAGTTTTTTATGAATAGTCAATAGGATATAGGTATAATTGTTATAATAATGATGTCATTTTATGTGTTTTTACTTCTTCTTTAAAATGGTGTATGATAATTAGACATTAAGCGAGTATAAGTAGGTTTTTTAAGACTTTTTAATTTGTAAACTTTAAAGGGCCGTAGAGCTGTTGTTTATTAATATTCTTGTAAGAAACTTGTTGTATCAGATAGGTAACACGTAGGGCTACGTAAATAAATAGGTATCGCATCAATAAGTGTAAAAATGTACTGTGTAGGAGAAAAAACATGTTTGTATAGAACCGTTTTCTGAGACATGTCGCGCTCCCCACCCGGCGCGCCCGGAGCGCGCGGGTGGGGCAGCGAAGCCCCGTGGCAGGGCGAAGCCCTATGGAGGGGGAAAGTATAAATATTGCGGAGACCTATTTTTTGCGCGCCACACCTAAAATATCGTGTTTACGGACACATAACTATGTTAAAAATATGCCCAAATGTATGCCCGATGTATGTACAATTAGTTTTAAGCTCGCACTATTGTAAATCTTGAGAAAATGAAAAATAAAGTATAGCGTGGGTGAGGTAATGGATCGCTGGCCAGCTCAGTCCTAGCATATAAAATTCGAGTCGGAACATGCCCCGACATGCATTCAGCGACAGGCGCTCCTACCCTAAGGAACAGGAAGAAACAACCAAGCGGTTCACTCTGGACCTGAAGCCTCCTCTCACCGGCCATCCATTATCAGCGCCCACCGATTTCTTCAATACCGAACACCAGGGGTTTTATTCGCCGAAACTACAGTCCACTACAGTCAAGACTCCTGCGTGTAACTTCCTCCACCCCCTCAGTACGAGTCGGTAACTGTCCGCTACTGCGACAGCCCGGCGTCCCGTACATTTTTTGGTCGCATCGAGCCGGATCTACAGCGCCGAGGAAGAATTGAAGAAAAATTATAGAAGATTGAAGAAAGAAGATCGTCGTGGTCAATTATAGAAGATTGAAGACAGAAAATTGAAGAAAAATTATAGAAGATTGAAGAAAGAAAAATGCCACGAACAAGATCTCAAGCTGACAAAATGGACCAGGCCGAAGAGGAGCGCATCGAGAGAAGCATCGAAGAGCCAGAGCGAACCGCTGCAGGAGAGAATCCTGTCCAACCCCCGTCAAGAGCGCCATCGGAAGGGAGCGACACCGTGACGCGGCCACC